ATTTGTGGGTAATGCTTTACTCACATAGTCCTTTGACTGGTGGTATTAAATGATGATGGGTATCAAGCAAATGATAAAGTTGTTGGTGGAAGGTTAGTGAGGATGATTTGATTACAAATGAGTAACAACAAAGGCAGGATCATTATCTCAGAAAACATTTCTGTGTTTCCTGGGAAGCAAGGCTCAAATCTGTTGTACTAGACAGTTCTTAACTTTTCTGAGGGTAACAGATCCCTTTGATAATCTGACAAAAGCACCGGACACTCTCCCCAGAAAAATCCACGTATGCATGCTCAGTCAAAGTTTTTATACAACTTTAAGGGATTCACAAATTTCCATGAAGTCCATCCATAGACCTCCTGGGGTGCCCTAAGTGGGATAATATCCCCTGTGTTGCACATTAAAGAAAATTAATTAATTAAAACTATATATTAAATAAAAAATGCTAGGAGAGAAATTTCAATTACAGACAGGAGTACAGCAGAGAAGATGGTGTATGATGGAGTCAAAGTGTTGGAGCTTTAAGTGACAATTCCATCTACAATAGCACAGTGATGGACTGCTGAGCCAAGGTAGGCAAATGTAGGGAAACAGGGTACCCGGCAGGGGAAAGAATGCAAGAGGACCAAAACCTCACTAGCTGAGGTTTTGCTGAACTTTGTGATTTACAGTACAATGGTATCCTTCTAGCTCTCAATACTGCTTAAGTAATATGAATTGACATTTTGATTTTTATAGGTGAATGATAATACTAATAGACCATGAAAGATGCTGATCACGTCTAGTGAGTACTGTAGCTCAGATTAGCTTTCTGGGGCTCATCTATCTACTATGAGCTTAATGAGGACTTGGTAAGATGATCAAATTGAGCAATATATTTGTAATGTAGTTAAATACATCACAAAGCTGTATTCTTTTAGACACTGAATTATGAGATGTACAAAGACCTATAAAACCCTATCTCAGCATTCAACAAGCTTCTGTCTAGTTGAAGGTAATAGTTAAGCACAGGAAGAATTAGGAAGCAATAATAGAAGTAAGTAAACATGTAACACATTAGCACAGTAGATGCCAGTGGAAAGTGCCTAATCATAGGATTCGTGGCTCAGAGTTGTGTTCTTAAGGCCAGAATCTCTCCTGTTATGACTTCTGGATAACTTGGAAGAGAAGCACACGATAAACAAAAAGGCATTCAAATTTAATGTTGACCAAATAAAACGTAGCTGTGGCACTGTGCTTTGAATACCTGCGTGTTTAGCTAAATACATTTTTGTTTGCATAACCCTAAAAAAAAAGAAAAAACTTGAAAGGGATTGACAATGTGGACTGATGGATAAGAACTCATTCTTAAGCTCTGTTTATTTTTCCCCTAGGCTGTAGATGTTGGCATCTACCTTCATAACATTGGTGTTGGTTTCTTTTGTTTCAGAATCAGCACTCTGACCTGTTCTGTCAGGCTGGCTCTGTGTACAGACAGTCGTCAGCTGCTTGTGTAGTGTGGTCCAGAGTTTCCCCATGAGCCCCTGCCATGCGGAATACTTCCGCCAACTCTTCTTGCAGATAACTGAAATTCCGCTGTTTAAATAGATTCCCTTAATTTTAAAGACGATTCTATTTTCAAAATCTCATTGCAGATGCAAATAGCACTGAAAACGACTTTGTGGTATCATTATTAGTATGAAATTTAATGAAGTATGAAGGAAGGGTATGGACTTAGGGAGGATAGATGGGAAACCATGATAACAGGAGGGAAAACTGAAGTGCTAAAAAATGACGAGTGTCAAACCTCACTGGTGAAAAGTTTCCTCGAGGGCTGGTGCTGTATTCTGTCCTCTGGGCCCAGAATGCCATTTCCAATCTGGCCCAGTCTTCACTAGCCTTTCATCATAGGGGGAGTCAACCCATTGTCATTGCTGCAAACTAATAATAATAGAACAAAGTATCCTCACTCATTGATTATACATCCCTACTGTACTTGTCCAAGCAGGGTAAAGTTGCCTTTGTGAGAATTACTTGGGTAACGATATCATTTCTGTGCTGTTCCCTCTAAATCATATTAACCATTTACCTCTTCATACAAAGATAGTTATGAAGAAATACAGATCCTTGAGATCAAAAGAGGAACAAGCTAGCACCATCAGTAATTTCTCTCTCAAAATTTCTTTGAGTTTTTATCCTCCAGATACAGTTATTTAAGGTAAAAAAAAAAAAAAAAATTTTGGAAGAGTAACAGTTATTGTCATGTTTAAGTGTTTTTAAATAGCAGAAATATGTAGTAACTGTAGATTCTAAATTATGGCTAAAATTTCTGTCATGCCTTGCTTAATGACGTGGATATGTTCCAAGAAATCCATCATTAGGCGATTTCATCATTGTGCAAGCATCATAGAGCTAGAGTGTACTTGCACAAATCTAGATGGTATAGCCTACTACATACCTAGGCTATATGGTACCAATCTTATGAGACCACTGTCGTATATGCAGTCTGTTGTTGACCAAAACATCACTAGGCAGTGCATGACCGTGCTCTGTATCTTCCTTTAAGCTTAACTCAATAAGAGATTTACAATCTAGGGAGATGATAGCCAAACAGTGGTAATTTTACAAACATCATCATTTCTACCAGGCATGTATTTAAGATGTTTGAGAAAGAGTTCTGAGCAACAGTTTAACTGACTTTTAGAAAGCCCTCCGAATTTAGGAATTAATAACTGAGTTTGGTTTGGGGAAGGAAAAGGAGGGAGCTGCTGTTGTCTGAAAGTTTGTGTCCTCCCAAAAATTCATATGTTGAAACCTAACCCTGCAGGTGATGGTATTAGGAGGTAGGGCCTTTGGCAAGTGACTAGGTCATGAGGGCAGAGGCCTCGTGAATGGGGTTAGTGCCCTTATAAGAGCAAACTTATGAAAGCTTCCTTGCCTCTTCCACCGTGTAAAGTTAGAGTGGGCAGGCATTGAATCTGCCAGGGTCATGATCTTGGACTTCCCAGCCCCAGAACTGTGAGAAATAAATGTTTGCTGATTATAAGTCGCTCAGTTTATGGTATTTTTGTTATAGGATCTCTAACAGACAAAGACAGGAGCTAATTATTGAGTGCCTACTAGAACACAGGAGCTTTACAAATCGATTCAGCTCAAGTCTCAAAACATACCCACAAGATAGAGTATCTTTCCTATTTTATAAATGAGAATATTATTGTTCAGAAAAAGTAACTCATTCACAATCATATGCTAATTGGTGGGTAGAGCCATCCAGATCTGTCAGCTTCCAAACTTGAGCCTTTTCTGCCACGTGACACTTCATTTTACAGGGCAAGGGCTTTTGAAACCATTTGTTCTCCTACCTTTAGAAGGCTCTTTCATAGAAATAGATTTTCAAATTTAGATTATATTTATTAAAATAAGAAAATGTGGTTTATTTTTAAATTTTGTGAGATTATAGAAACCCTAAATATTGTTTAAATTGCAACCCAAGAGAAATCATTGGTATAACTTTCATCACTGATTTTTCAAATAAATGTCAGGCCTGGGCAATATGGTCACATGAGAGCAGTAGCTTCAGAATTATTCTGAGTTGCTAGATACTTATTATATGCTTTTGCTGAGCAATTATCTGAATTACTTATTTTTTAGTATGTCTTTACCAAAATTATCTTTGAACTTATAATTACATCAGACCTTAGGGGTTATCTGAGCAAAATAACTAAATTCATGAATATATAAATTTATCCGATTGCACACACACACAAACACAAATGGATAATAAGAGTAAGATAGGTAAAATGCAATTGCAAAACATTTGAAGAGTCTTCAAACTCATGTATGTTTATTAAACTTTCTGGACAACTGAAGTTAACTGGTTTGTGTTCGAAGAGGAAATCCTGCCACTAGTTAAAATGGTAAGACTTAATAGACATGTGACACTGTGATGCGCTGTAACTTCTCCACTCTTCACTTGGCGAAACCCGATGTGTCAATGGAATCTAAGGCTAATTTGGATGATGGATGATGGAAAATACCCTACTGGCCACTGTATTCTTTTATTTTCTGACACTCCTTTAAATGTGTCTGCTACTCTTCAAACAACCTTGATGTATTGGATTTGGAAATGTGCGCCCATGATAGTCCTTCTTAATCCAATGTCTGAAAAAGATTGATTTTAAAAATAAACTGAAAAACTTTCAACTTTTTCTTAATGATGCTTAGGTTACTGATGTTTACCAGTCTTCTACTAAATTCCAAAAGATATCCATAAAGTCATTATAGTTCAGATTCCTAAGCATTTAAGAATATGTAGCTTGAAATTAGTCCCAAATTTATAAAACTAAAAATCCACAAGCAACTGTGGAAATGTCAGTTATCTATGTAGACCTTTTTTGCTCAAACCAAAACACTATATCAGAGGTTTCATCTCGTTGTTAGTTTTCCCCGTCACCACAAAACCTACCTATTTCTGACACTTGTAAACTGAACTTGATAAACACCTAAACTTAACTGAACTTCATTTTTTTAAAATAGAACTTTTCTGGAAAAACAAAAGCAGGATGCTATTTTTCTAAACAGTTTATAAACTACACAGAAGCTTTTGTTCCTTGAATGTGATACTTTTGGAAAAGCAGAACTATCCATTTCCCAAACTGCTCCCTTCTAAAGAGTCTACATTCTGCTTCAAAAGAAATGCTGCTCTGACTCAAAGACCTTGACTTAACAGTGGAGTGAAAGAGTGCTACCACAGTGAAACTTATGTTTCTAATTCTACCAGCGAGTGTTATTGCTCTCATACATGTCCAACATTGGAGTGTTAAGAGTCTGATATGTTCTTATTGGTGAAGAGCTGTTTTGACTATCATCAAGCATCTGAATATTGAGTGTTTCTGATCCTTACCACTGTCCTATACCTTACATGGTGTTTACAGTGAAATAGGACCCATGTTGTTGGCACTCTGTGAGCTTATTATTCGATTCCTAAGAACTCACATGAAGTGAGCAAATGAGATAGAAACATGGCATTACTGATTATACTGATTATCTGCTTTGTGATTATTCTTGCTTCTTCTCAGCCTTGCCAGACCCCTGATGACTTTGTGACTGCCACTTCTCCAGGACATATCATGATTGGAGGTTTGTTTGCCATTCATGAAAAAATGCTGTCCTCAGATGACTATCCCAGACGACCCGAAATCCAGAAGTGTGTTGGGTGAGTAAAACCTCACAGAGTACATTTAGATTTCAAGACTATACCGGGAGACTGTATCATGTAAATGTTTACTTGTATTAACATCTAAATTGTTTTAATAAAATTTAAACTCACGTATCTTGCAATTACATATAGTTAATCTTGGTTACTTTAAGGAAGTAAATCCTTCCTTAAAAGAGAGATAAATCAGCACTATATGTATGGTCAACTTCCAAGAGCAGAGGCAATTAATGCTTTACATTAATATGTTTATTTGGATTTTGCCTAAAAAAAAAATCCATGAAGTCACTTGAGAAAACCAATAAGACACTGTGGCCTGTCCACCACAAGCATACATAGCACATTAATATTTCTACCACCCACAACATGCATTTTGTTATAAACATGGATCTCTTGTTTAATTATTCGTTAAAAATAGACTACATTTAAAATTTTTCTCTACACTAACATTTCTGTCAACACTGTCTTCATTTCATTCTTGAAATAATCTAATTCTTTCATAAATTAAGACCCAATCTCAACTGAAACTATTCCTTCTTCTTTGATGAACGCTTTACATTGTGAAAGCTCAACTATATAAAAGACATTTGGCACAGTGTAATATGGAATAGTAAAGCTGGGTGGGGTGTGTTACAAATAGATTTTCTTCAAGGAGAGTAGGATATTTGAATTCTAATTTCAGTTTGGGGACAAACTAATTCTGTAAATTTAGGTAAATCACTTAAACTCTGAGTTCCAGTATCCAGTGTTCTCATCTACAAAGTAAGGGCCTGGATAACCTCTAAGGACACAGGCAGCATCAGCTTCTGTTGCTATGGCAATGTGATCCCCATCGTTTCTTCTAGCTCTAAAATCCTGATTTCTATCTTGATGTTTTTATATGTAAACTTAATCTTCTCTTTTCTCCTCCCTTTTTTTCTCTCTTTATCAAAAAGTATTTACCAAGCCCTCTAAGAATGCTTTCAGATAAAATGGGATCTCATGTCACACTGAGATTCCTTCCTGGCATTCTCTCCAGAAGTTAGGCACATTGAGCTACTGTCATCATAACTGCTGATTATCAGGAATACCAGGAAATACCCAAAAATAATTAATGAAGATTTTCAGAGAGCTAAGCTGGCACCCAAACAATGACTACAAATTTGAGGCGCACAACCGTAGGCCAACTACTAACGATGGAAAATAGTAAAGAATCATTTGATCTAATAACCAAATTTATTCTTTAAAAAAATCACTGAATTGAACATCCTTTCATCTTACTGTTGGTCACTGAAAGAAATAGTATTCACTCAACATTAAACAACCATTTATTAAGTGCCGACATTACCTAGGCCCAATTCTAACCACTGGGAAACTGAGGTGAATTTACCAACGAGGTTCAGACTGTCATGGAGCTAACATGTGGGAAACTCTGAAAATATTATACATTTTAAATAGCAGACAATTCATCACTTTAACCTTTCCTCTTCCTTGCTTCTTTCTTTAAATTAAAAACTTAATGCTGATTTGTCAAACTTCACATTTAGATAGTCCACAATGGCAAATACTATTACTCAAATTGTTTTATTTATCATAACTCAATTCGTTAAAAGGAAACATTAGCATATCAAAACACTGAATAATAATACCTCCTTTTATTCATTTAAAAAAACGCTTATTCACCCCTTACTATGTATTAGGCACTGTTTGTAACCTTTTGTAAACATGGTGGATGAAATAAACTTGACAGTAAATCAGTAATCAAACAACTCAGTGCTCTGGGATAATCACAAATCAAGAAGTCAACTGGAAAAGCTTTCCAAAAGAAGAATTATCTATGTGTTGGAACTAAAATAGTGCACTTTACCTAGGAGAAGGCTATTGGGTTTTTCCCAGAGCATATTTATATGCAATTTTTAAGAGTCTTATTAATCTGGTTTTCAACCACAGCAGATTAGAATCAGAAAATTTAAAAACGGATTTGTGAGTCTAAAAAGGAGGTACTTGGATGGCAATAAAATACTGACATTGAGCTACAAAAAGGAACAAAAACCAGACACATCTTCATACTGCAGAAGGCTAAATCGAGTAATCAAAATGATCCCCAACTTCATTAAGAAATGGTTAAATCTTGTTCCATAGACTGTATTTGAGAAAGTGTGGGTTCCTAGGTACCCTCTAAAGTCTCCATGAGAAATTGTTTTTAAATAAATAAAGTTTAGATCCATCAAGAAGTAAGCTTCACTGATCCAGAAATTGTCTATTATAAGGCAGAGATGTGGATAAAATGAGATATCATCACGTGTGGAGAAGAGTTATGTTCTGATTTCAAAAAATACTTGTTTCTCAACAGCTTTGACATATCAATCTTTCTTCATACTCTTGCCATGATACACAGCATTGAGATGATCAATAATTCAACACTCTTATCTGGAGTCAAACTGGGGTATGAAATCTATGACACTTGTACTGATGTCACAGTGGCAATGGCAGCTGCTCTGAGGTTTCTTTCTAAGTTCAACTGCTCCAGAGAAATCGTGGAGTTAAAGTGTGACTATTCCAGCTACATGCCAAGGGTTAAGGCTGTCATAGGTGCTGGCTACTCAGAAATAACCATGGCTGTCTCCAGGATGTTGAATTTGCAGCTCATGCCACAGGTAGGTTCTGTTATACATCCGTATGTTGGTTTTGATTATATTCTTTATTATGAACAGATCAGGGTAACCTGGGAGACTAGTTAGGCAGTTGCCTTTACTTTAACCTTTCATTCTCTTCTGTCAAAGAAAGGATGTGCCCTATCATAGACCACAGAGTGGACAAAGCACTAAGGGTGTAGACACCCCTCAATTTGTCAGGTCTAGTTTCTGGCAGTTTTCAGCATGATTTGGATAAGACACAAACTTCTGAGCACCTCAACTGCCTTGTTTCTGGAGTAACAATCAGTCAGATGCTATGAAGAAAAGAGAAGAGAATGAAGGGTAAGGGGGTATGGAGGTCAAGGAAGACTTCTTGAGAAAGTGACGTTTAGCCTGAACTTGAATGAGAAGGGACAGCCAAGGTAAGATGGGGGAGAGGAGAAGAGTAGCTAGACCAAGAAAACAGCAAGCGCAACATTGAAATGTCCAAAGAATAACAAAAGGTCATCATGGCTGGATCAGTTTAAGCAGAAAGGAGCATAGTAAGAGATGCACTTGGAGAGACAGGCAAAGGCTGGCTCATGTAGCATCTTGTTAGCTGTGGTATGGTTTGCAATTTTTTCTGAGTATGATAGAAATGCTTTGAGCAGAGACTGTGGAAATGCATACCTCCTGTAAGGCCAACCAATAACCAAGAAGTAAGTAAAAACATCTCTGAAAGACCAAAACAGATATTAGAGAACCCTGCACTAAGTGCTCGCACATTCCTCAGAGTCCAGCAATTTCCCTTGGCTTTCATTTTGAGCCTACTCATCTTCATATCACGTCACCCTGTAACTTGTGAGGTCACTGCTTTTTAAGCTCAAGGAAGATTAAAAGCCAAAAGTTAGAAAGGAAAAAGGCTTATAGTCAGATTATCAAGAAATGACCATCTGATAGTAGTTAATAGAGGGTGGGGGGGGGAGAGGGTGAAAGGGGTAAAGAGGCACATTTGAACAGTGACAGATGGCAACCAGACTTTTGATGGTGAATATGATGTAGACAACACAGAAGTTGAAATATAATGATGTACACATGAAATTTATGTAATGTTTTAAACTAATGTTACCTCAATAAAAAATGGAAAAAAAGAAATGACCACGTGATAGAAATGAACAGATAGAAAAAATATGTAATATAATAAATGTGTATAAGAATACAAAATATACACTTATATACAAAATATATACTTTCTGGAGCTAGAGTAAATAAACGCATATATTTATGAAAGCCTCTGAGAGTTCCATTATATTATAGCCTAGTGACGTTGGTAATGCAATCTATAAGTCCAAAATGACAAAATGAAAGAATTATTCCCCCAAACATCTCAGAGATAAGGCTTTGGCTCAAAATTTCTAGACTATGTATAATGTGAGTCAGGTGATAAGAAAAGTAGACTATTTGTAACAATGATTGTTTAATGTAAAATGTAATTGCCATGATAGACAACACAAAGGAAAGGAGACTTCCACGGGTAACGCTGATTTTGCAGAAGCGCAGCTCTCACAATGTTGGTGAGTGTAGCAGTGTCACGTGCTGGGAAAGGAACTAAGCTTTAGTGAATGTCCACCATGTGCTAATATCCGTTTAAACTTTCTCTTTTAATCTTCACAAGAATCCTATCACTTCACAGGTAAAGGAAAGTGAACTAACTTTCCCAAATTTATTGAAGTCAGGATTCTAAGTTTGTCTGACTCCAAAGCCTATTGTCTTTGCACCATACCATGAGGCTGCAAATTGTAAAAAAAAAAAAAAAAAAAAAAAAAAAATTCACCTTGGAAGGCAATAATTCTCCCTAGAATAAAATCACCAAAGCAGTAAATCAGGTACAACTTTGCACATGTTAGGTAGGACTCCCAAAATGTTGCTGCTTATTTGACTAGATCAGGGGACAAAAAAAGCATAGCCTGCAGACCAAATGTGACTCTCAAACTCTTGAGCTGTGGAGCTAAGAATGATTTTTACATTTTTTAAAGGTTGTAACAAAAAGACCCCAATATATATATTATATATGTCAGAGAGCATATGTGACCAACAAAGCTTAAAATATTTTTTATCTGGTCCTTTACAGAAAAGGTTTGCTGACCTCTAGACTAGAGGATTATTTGACTGGATGATTTATTTTACCTAGAATAAAAATCACCACCAGCTGCATTTTTCTTGTATTTATTTCTAAATATTTAGATAATATCCACAATCGGTCCTGGCCTGAGAGATAAGACAGATATAAATGGATATAGAAGTGCGATAGAGATAAAAGTTAGAGCCTGAACCCTTCAAGGGCTTATACTATGCATAACTTAAAGTGATTAGAGAGCAATGACTCTAGGCAGTCACCACATACCAAATATCATGATTTAAGCTATTTGTAAAGTAGGAGTTCATTGAAAGGGAAGGATGGAAAGGACTAGAGAATTTAGGAAAAGGTTATGGAAACTCACAGAAATCAGAGAGGAAAATCTACATGAACAGCCACCTGGAGTTCATCAACACTGTAACTAAAAGATTCTGTCAATTTCCAGGTGAGTTATGAATCAACTGCAGAAATCCTAAGCGACAAAATTCGCTTCCCTTCATTTTTACGGACTGTGCCCAGTGACTTCTACCAAACTAAAGCAATGGTCCATCTAATTCAGAAATCTGGATGGAACTGGATTGGCATCATAACCACAGATGATGACTACGGACGATTGGCTCTCAACACTTTTGCAATCCAGACCGCGGCAAATAATGTGTGCATAGCCTTCAAAGAAGTTATCCCAGCCTTCCTCTCAGATAACACCATCGAAGTCAGGATCAATCAGGCACTTGAGAAAATCATAGCAGAAGCCCAGGTTAATGTCATTGTGGTATTTCTGAGGCAATTCCATGTTTTCAATCTCTTCAATAAAGCCATTGAAAGGAATGTAAATAAGACCTGGATTGCTAGCGATATTTGGTCAACTGCCACCAAGATCACCACCATTCCTAACATTAAAAGGATTGGCAAAATTGTGGGGTTTACCTTTACAAGAGGGAATATGTCCTCTTTCCATTCCTTTCTACAAAATCTGCATTTATTTCCCAGTGATAATAACAAGCCCTTAAATGAATACGCCATGCTCTTGTCTGCCTGTGCTCATGTCAAGGACAGTGATTTGAGTCAATGCATTTCCAACCATTCTCAGGGGACTTTGACCTACAAGGCTAACAAGGATATAGAAAGGAACTTCTCTCTGAGAAATGACTTCCTGTGGGATTACACTGAGCCAGGATTTGTTCACAGTATTCAGCTCGCAGTGTTTGCCCTTGGTTATGCAGTTCAGGATCTGTGCCAAGCTCAAGATTGTCAGAACCCTAACGCCTTTCAACCATGGGAGGTACTAACTCACACAACCGAGAACATCCCCCTACCATCATTTCCTCCATTTCCTTCCCTGCTTTAATTTGCAAACAGTTAAATTAACTGCTCTTAATCGTATTCCTTTTAGAAGCAGACACCTTCAGTTTTTGAATAACCTCCCTTTGTACCATTAGCTCTTTGTTCTTGAGGATGAGACTTGTTATGTTACCTTTACCTCCTACTCTGACTCACCAAAGTTATGTTCTTCTGTTGTCCAAGAAGATTCTGGTGATAGTGTTATTTTCCTTGAGTTTATGGATTTGTATCTGATCTTGCAGTTTTTCAGTGCTTCCTATGAATTGCCTCTTTTAATGCTCTTAACAAACACAAGACCAGGCATGTTTAACGATCCTTTTTATTATTACTAAATATTATAGATGAGGAAACTAAAGCTAGGAAGCACCAGAAATATGACTTCAGTCTCAGTCTTCTGATTCCGTGCCCTTTGCTTCTCATGATGTCTCTGATGGTTTATAGTCCCAAAGCCTCCAGTTATGACTCTTACTTAAGGCCGTCTCCCTAGGACTCCAGTCTGGTTCCAATGGAATGGAATTGGAACATTCCAACATTCATTGGAATGTTATTAGGTCAATCAGGGTAATTCCTATGATATCTCAGGTTTACATGCACCACTAATTGTAAAAGAAGTCTTTCCCTTTCCTCTCTTTGATTAGTTTGAGAAGTTCAAATTAAAGTGTAATGCGGCCCTAGTTAGTGAAAAATTTCCATTTCGCTTTTTAAATGCCCATGAACAAGGTATTTAAAAGTAAATTGTTGCTTCATATGATGAAAAATTTTACTCATTAGAAACAAATTTCTCAATAATGTGTATTCAAAGACAAATTGCAACGTCTTGAGGCAGAACCATGTTCCAAAATACATTTATTTTAAATTCCTAAGGAAAAAGAAGGTGAAAGGGAGTAAGACCCAATTCTTCTGATCATATAAATAAGTATTCAGGACAGGCTATTTCTACTTTTGTTGTTTTTACTTTAAACACCCACCAACACAAGCTCCAAGCTCTGAGCTGACAAACTTACATTTGGGTAGATAATGTGATGGTCATAGAGTGTTTCAAATTGCTCATTTTAAAACTAGTTTGCACCTTGTAAACACAAGGCCAAAAACATAATGAAGAGATAAGACTAGAGATTAGGATCTTTTTTAAATTAAAACTCTCTTTTTTTAAAAAAAATGTTATATGCTTAATAGTTTTAAGATGCCTATTTGAAAGCATACTCTTTGTAAACCTTCAATGAAGGATTGGTAAAACTAAAAATTAAGTGGACCACCGTAATGAAACTACTACATGGAATTTTAGGAATGAGAGATTGAGAAGGAGTAATGGAGAGAAAATAGACAACCATAGAGACAGACAGGATAAAGAGGGGGGGACACAAAGAGGCTCAAAAGAAAAGAGAAATACAAACCGCAGGAGCGATTTATCTACTAAAGATCTGGGAAAGTATTTTAAATCAGGAATAAGTCTCAAACATTCTGAGGAAAAGAGTTAAGAAAGCATAATTCAAGTAGCGTCTTCTAAAAGTTTTATTTAAACACTAGAAGCCTGAGGTCGTTCTTTACGGCCCTGGGAGCCTGTTTATCTAGAAACATAGAAACAGATAGGCAAGGAGGAATAGGGGAGTGACTTGCTCCTTTGATCTCCATGTGAGTGAGCTGCATCTGTGCCAGATTCAGTAGCACAAATAATGCAAACAACTGTCTTTTTATGAAGAAATCTCCGTAGACACTAAACTTAAAAGATCAGCAAGATTTCGGGGAACTAATCCAAGGTGCGTTTCTAAAGATTATTTTGTACCCTGGCAAAATTCACCATTATTTGAATGATAGTTTCTGAATAATTTTAGATTCAAATAACTTTAAAGGGTTTTTCCCCCCAGTATTTGAGGATAGTCTTTACTTTGGCTCTGTATTTGTTTACATCTGTGAGTGGTATTCAGGGACAGCACAGTCATGTTTGTTTTACTTCAACAGATTTTTAATGTTTCTCAGATGCATGCAAGGATACCACCTCTCTGTTGTGACTAGTTATTTTGGTTTTCTCTTCTTTGTTTTCCTTCACTTCTGATGATGTACAAGGTAGTAAGTGATGTGCGTGAGATGAGAGAATGTTTAATAGTCAAACTTGTATTCATATGTTTATTTAGAAAATATTTATAGGATGTCTCAATGTTCCAGGCATTGCATTGAGTGCTAAAAATATTATAGAGAACAAGACAGTTCTTTCCCTAAAGGAGTCTAGTAGAGTACACAATCAAACAATTAAGGAGCTGATTACAATACAGGATGATACATCGCGGTGTTTCTTATAAACACAAGATGGCAGAGCCGCACGTAATAGAGGCAACTAATTCAGTACTAGCAATTCAGAGCACATTCTCCAAGGATCACGATATCTCCAGTGAATGTGATGGATGGGTAGGAGTTAGCCAGGGCAGAAATATTCCACCAAAGTCTCAGAAGGAAGAGAAAGCATGGTATCTTCAGGGAGCAGAAAATCATGCCATAGAACTAGAGACTTTTGTGGAAACTACTGGAAAATGAGACTGGCGGGACTAGTGAAGAATCCATCATTAGGGCCTTGTTGATCAGAGCATCTCAAACTTTGATGTGCAGTTGAATTGCCTTGGGATTTTACTATCACACAGATGCTAATTCAGTAGTCCCAAGGGGGACCTGAAAGTCTGCACTTCTAAAAGCCTCTCAGGTGATGCTGATACTGCTGGTACAGGGACTATCCTTGAAACAGAAAGTCTGCAAACCATATTTAAAGATTTGGACTTGGTAGAGCAAAGAGGAGCCAATTAAAGATACTTTTACACAAGAGAGGAATGTGATCTGCTTTCCATTGTGGAAATAGTATTCCCACTGTCATGTGTGTTGATTAGAGGGACACAGGACCAGAGGGAGAAAGGTGAGTTTGGTAATACAGGCATAAGAAAAGGATGCTTTGTACTACAGCTGTGACAATGAGGATGGAGAAACATACACATGGATATTTAAGAGGAAGTATGAGGAACATTAGGAGTGAGATCGGGTGTAAAGGATGATAGAGAGAAGCAAAGACGTTGCAAACAATTCAAAAATTTGGGCAACTGGTGCCATTTATTGAAATGGAAGCACAGAGAAAAGTGAGTCCTGGTAGGGAGAGGAAATATTAAGCATTCCATTTTGGAGATGTTGAGTTTGAAGAACTTATGAGACATCCTAGTGTAGCAATGATGATTGAATATTAGTCCAAAAGTCAGAGGAGACATGTTCCAAGAAGAAAGTGATTTTGGAGTGGTAAGGAAAATAACTCCTCAAACATTTTAAGGCCTACTGTACTAGGCACTAACATAGATGATTTCTAATCGTTATAATATTATGGTAGGTCCACAGGGCTCATATTCTTTACACTTCATCCTAAAGAAGTGACAAGAGGAAGGGTTACTGGTGACTGAGACTTATAGCAGTTTAGAGATGGAGGGGGCCTCAGCAATAAGGGTCTGGCCTATGGTCACCCAAATAGTTAGCAGTGAAACTGCCCCAGCTTTAGTCCAGTGGGCTTTCTACTACACCCTGGAAAACTTCACAAAAGAAAAAGACATAGGTTGGGCACCAGACAGAGATGCAAGGCTGCTTCCTCTGCTGTTCTCTAATTTGCTCACAAAGATACCTCTTTTCCCAAGCACAGCTTACTTGTGGAGATAGAGCGGACATCAGAGAAGCTATGGAAATGGAAGACAGCATCAATCACAACACCTTAACTGGTGTGGCCCCCTTGCCTTTTGTTCTCAAATACAGGTCATTACCGAACAGAAGTGGATAATACAATAATGGAAATGCAAATCCTACTCTCTAAATTTTGTAGTGTCAATTACAGTGAATTTCAGAGTCTCAATGAAAAACAAATAATTGATGGGAAAAGCATTTAATAGCTTAATAACTGGAATGTTAGTGTTCAAAATTTGCCTTAATCGGGAGCAAATGTTCTGTCACATTTAACAAGTAATGAATTCACTGTTTTATTTGCCTCCACCCTCTTTCCTGTAAGAACAAGCATAGAATTGTGCTAGTTTATTTACATCATATAATGTTATCATTATGTACAGAACATATATGTGTCAGAACTTTACCCTGTAAAACCTAATTAAATGCAGGGAAAAAAACAGGTGGAAATTATAGTTCAAATGCAAGAGTGGAAGAGGATATGTTTCCTCTTACGTGTGTATATTGCTTAAGGAAGGAACAGAAGAAAAATCAATACACAGGCAGAGGTGAGAACATTAACGGTAGGCTCTTACTTATTCTTTTATTTTTGTTCCCTCCATTTTTATCTTCCAGGCAATTACTAGAATAAGATTTTGTTGGTTAATTTCACCATGTTAGTTCTGATATCCTGCTTCTTTAATGTAATACTAATTAATTGACATTCATTAAAGGAACTATGAAATCTGTAGGGATGTATAATAAAATCAATACACACACTTAGAGACTTAGCTGAAGTGACATTTGGTCAGTGACATGACTATTGTAGCTATTATATTTACTTTAAAATATAGCTTGATTTACTTATGTTCTGTTGAACAAAAAAAATTAAAGGAAAGAAACTTTCATAAAAGATTAACTGAGAAGGAATAGAATAAGAATAATTCTATTCAAGTAGAACAATTTGTAACTCATTCCATAGATTTTGCACCCAACAAAGCTGCACAGTATCGTACATTTAGATAATGAGTGGGCCTGATGCATTCAGAGAGGGCATTTACTTAGCCATGATTATATATCAAGTTAATGGTGGAGCCAGAATTGCAACCTGTTTTCCTCCCTCCTGGCCCAGTGTTCTTCCTCTGCAGTGCAAGCTCAATATGGCTGCCTTATTGTCAGTTAAACGTTTCCTGTCCCAGCTGTACTGCATACAAGTTCTCACTGTACAGTTGGGTAACAAGTAACTTTTCATGGCAATTCTTTCCTCTCAAGTTAAAAAAAATCATTTTATGAATTAAATTGAAAACAGATTTTAGAAGTCGCTTTACTATGCACTCAATCACTGAAACTTGAAAACCATTGGAGATAATAAGATCCATATCTTCCACCAAATGAGTAACAAAGTAGGGACTTAGAGGGCAGGTGCTAGAAGCTACCTTACTTACGCCCATCAACTAAACTTCTCTGGAGAGGACGCTCCTCAGTACATGCCCAGGAGCAGGGTGCTGCTGTTATTGGACTGTCTCCCAGGTTTGTAGATCTGTCCCATCAGTTTTCATTTTGAGGATGGCAAGTATGACAACTATTGGCTTAGATTACCCACTCAGACTTGGCCAAGGACCTGGGCCAATTGCGACTCTAGAAAAAAAGGATGAATTTTCCTGCATTCTGTGGCTCCAGATGGCACATTGATGATTGCTTTTGAGTCAGAAGGAAAAAATAGCAGGAGATCTTGAATTAATATATTGTTAGATGGAATGGAAAGATCTCATAATGAAAGTCAAGATGCTTGTCCTCAGATAAGTTCCTTCACCCTTGCTGGGCATCCTCATCTAAGAAGAAGGGAAGCTGATCCTTGCTCAGCTTGCTTCACTGAGTTGTTACTGAGTAAAATGATATCACAGATTTGAGTATTAGCAATAACATATGAATGTCAGGTGACATTATTAGTTGATAGACAGAGCATTTTTAATTATCTGCACAATATACCCATTAGCTAATAATAGGTATTAACAGATATTAATCTAACCTTTATTAATTCTTACTCTGTGCCAAATCCTGGGCTAAACTCTTTACATGCATAATTACATTTAATCCTCACAATAATCCTATAGGGTAGGTTTCATTTACCTCATTTTACAGATGAGTAAACTGAGGCCTAGAAAGAAATTGTAACTGTCAAGATCACATTACTAATGAGATATGCAGCCAGAATTAGAGCCTTGACATCTGCCCCAGAGAACCCATTCTGAAATCTACAATGTGGAAAAATGAAGATACTCAGATTTTAATTTTACAGGCTAGAGAAACTACCATCCATAAACATTAATTTGATTTCTCAAATTCACATAGCAAGACTTTGGCAGAAATGAGGTTAGAATTCTCAAATTGTTGCCAGGTAGTTAAAGAACCTTCTCAACTAGTTACCACACTCACTGATCCAGAATGTCCTTTTTCTAATCTTTAAGTGATATTCCTTGTAAGGCAGTGTTATAACTACATTACTGGGTACGCTTAGAATATTTCTATTAGTGTTTGTTTCTGTGTTTATGTTTTATAGTTACTTGATGTACTGAAAAATGTGACATTCACTGATGGAGGTAATTCATTTCATTTTGATGCCCATGGGGATATGAATACTGGATATGATGTTGTGCTCTGGAAGGAGATCAATGGCCACATGACTATCACCAGGTTGGCACAATATGACCTGAAGAATGGTGTCTTCATCATCACAGACCAAGAAGCAAAAAACGAGTTCAGAAATCTCAAGGTAATTTTGCTGTAGGCTGCTTTGTAGCATTCAAATCAATTGGTAACTCAACTGCAAAAGTCCTTGACCCCACCAGGACCTCTAGTCATTCTAAGGCCTGTTCACTGTCTCCAACTTCTCTCCTTAAATGCCATGATCAACTTGTTTATTGATCCCTTGTACACACTCTCAATTCCCTCCCCCTCTCTCTCCCTTCCTCATATTCATTCAAAGTGTAATCCTGGTTAAATTCAACTCTCTGTCTAATCAATATAGATCCCGTGTCGCTGAACTTGGCAAAAAATAAATAAATAAATAAAACAAAAACAAAAAACACCTTGCTGACTGTTCTCATTTTAAATTCATGCCCTCAAACCTCGAGTAGGCCCTTAATGCTGCTGGACAATTGGACTATTCCTTTAGTCCATTAACTTGCCACCTTCCTAGATGGCTGTTTTATGCTTTCTCTTCTCTCCTCTGACTCCAACACATCTTCCTCATCTTCTCTTTCAGTTGACCCTGCTTCCTATTCCACTAACAAAACTGAAACAATCAGGGTTTCCCTGCCACCATATCTGTGCCCATATCCCTGCCTTCCATCTGGCTCTGCGGATGGACTGTCTGTAGTCCTAGACAAGGTCAGTTCCTCCACTTGTCCTCTGGATCCCAACCACTTTCACTTACTCAAGGATGTTGCTCTGGCAATTCTCCAGTTCTTCCTGCATCCTCAAGCATTTTCTCTTCTGCGTTATTTAAATGATGATACAAATATGCTGTTATTCTTCCCACCTTAAAAAAAAAGAAACTCCATTGACCACCCCACACGTGCACATCCCCCTCCATATACGGCCCATTCCTCTATTTCTCTTTACAGCAAAACTCCTTGAAAAAGTTGAATATATTCACTGATCCCAACTTCTCTCCTCCAAGAATTCTTTTGAACTCTTTCCAGTGCATCAAAATTCTTTCTGTCTAGTTCACCAATGTTAATGAATCCAAACAACATCTTACTTCACTCACAGGCTAATTAATCTTCCCTCCATGAAATGTTCTCTTTATTTGTTTCCACAATACCACACTCCCTTGACTTTCTTCCTCCATCTCTGGCCACTGCTTCTCAGTCTCCTTTCCTGGTTCCTTGTCATTCCCACTGCCTATAAATGTTGATGTGCCCAGAGCTCGGAACGGCTCCTCTTTTTTTGTCTGCACTTTTCCTTAGTGATTTCATCCAGGCTCGTGACTTTAAAAAAACGTCATTATATGGAAGGCAGATGACTCCTAGATTTTTATCTTCTGGATTTCAACCTAAATAAATATACAACCCCTTACTTGACATCTCTACCTGGGTGTCTAATAGCTTAACTGATTAGTTCCAAAACTGAGTTCCCAAACCTACCTCTATCTCAATAAATAAGAACTCCCTTCTCCTAGTTGCTTATGGAAAAACCCAGTGGGATCCTTGTCACTTCTCTTTCTGTCATGCTCCACATCCCATCGAAGTTTTACTTTCAAAATGGGTCCAGATTCTGACCACTTTTGTCCTCTACTCTATTGCTGCCACTCCACTCCAAGCAACAATCACCTCTCACCCAGATTAAGACAGTGGGTTTCCAATTGCTCTCTGCCTCCACTCTTACCTACTTCAGTCTGTTCTTAAAGCAGCAGCCAGAGTAACCCTGTAAAATATAACAGTCTGCTCAGAATCCTCCCTACATCCTATTTCTCTCAGAGTAAAGCCAATGTCTTTAACAACCTTCCATGACCTGCCACCAGTCCCCCGACCTCATCTCCTACCACCTTCCCCTTACCCTCTCCTTCCTCCTACCCCACAGGCCTTCTCACTCTTCCATATACGCCTTCCTTTCTCTTAGCTCAAGGCCTTGCACCTGCTGTTTCCTTCCCCTGTAATAATCTTCTCTCACGTCCAGGTGGTTCACTTTCTCACTTCCTTTCTGTCTTTCTTAAAACATCCCCATCTCAGGGAGGCCTTCCTCAGTCACCTTATTCAAAATTTCAATGTCAACCTAACACTTATTATGCACCCTCCTGTCTTTATTTTTCTCCTTAGCATTTATTGCTACCTAGCATTCTGTACATTTTGCTTATCTTTGTCTTATTTATTGTCAACCTTGTTAACTAGAACTGAAGGTCTATGAGAGTATGGATTTTTTGTCTTTTGTTGCCTGCTATGGCTCCAACAATTACAAAACTTCCTGGCATATAATAGGCACTCAAAATATACGTGTTGAATGAAGGAATGAATATATTAATGCTTTAAGCCACTCTCTTAGTTCTCATTTTCCCTGTGATGTTTCAGTAAAGCAAGATACTTTTCCCTTGAAAAATAGAAGTGTAGCCATCCTTCTGTGTTCCCAAACTTTTGCCATCTTTGTTATCATCACCACTATCCTCACAACCACATTGTGAACCCAGCACTCTGCTAAACACTGTAACTCAACTGGGTCTCTTAAACCATGCTGTGACTCATTTTTTTATTGAATACAGAGAGGATTCTCTATTATTTATCGTTACCAAGACTTACCTCCAGACTTTGTAGGAGAGACACCAATGAGGGGGAGGTGATAGGAAGAAAAATAACTGATAGGGCTTTTAGAGACTAAGTGGAAGGGGCTGACCACCATGAAAAGTGGGACAAGTCTTCCTTTTTGGTGGAAACACCCATAAATACTTCAAGAAGTTTGTAGATACCAACAGTATCTGAGATCAACTATGTCAGACTTCAAGATTTGCTTATCAATATGCAGGCTCGTTGGGGTATCAACATTTCTGGTAAGTCATCAAAACTCATAGTCCAGTAGCTGGCCCGATGGCTGAGTGGTTAAGTTCATGTGCTCAGCTTTGGTGGCCTAGGGTCCCAATTCAGATCCTGTGCACAGACCAACACACAGCTCATCAAGCCATGCTGTGGCGGCATCCCACATAGAAGAACTAGAATGACTTACAACTAGGATATACAACTATGTACTCGGCCTTTGGGGAGAAAAAACAAAACAAAAAACAAAAAAAGAAAAGAGAAAGAGTGGCAACAGATGTTAGCTCAAGGCCAATCTTTCTCACCAAAAAAAAAAAGCATACCTTAAAAAAAACCACACTCATAGGCCAAAACATCAGGTAACCCTAAATCTGTTGCTGTTCCAAAGTTATCAATCCTAGACATTAGAATGTCTTTACTACCTCTTGATGTGTGGGGAGAGAAGAGACAGTGTTTCTGGGAAGAAAGGTTTCACTTTATTCCCCTAATGATGTCCAGTTAAATCCTTTTTTGTCCTCTGAGCACCCTCCAAGAGTGTGGATACTTCCAATTAAAAGTTTGCCCTGGGGAATCCACAAGGCAGATATCCTGCCAGCTCAAAACCCAGGTCAGCAACAACCATGTTGAAAACAAGAAAGCCAGTGCTTGTGGACACAGGGCTACTGAATCTTGGCTGCTTTTCTCTCTCAGCCAGTTCATTTTCATCTTCTAGAGGAAAGACTGGTTAGCTTAGTACTTTGACTATGTTCCAGGCTCAGGAATAGCTATTAAGAGAATTGAGAAGAAAGTCTCACTTACTCATTCTGGTTTGGCTTCCCAAGGACAAAAGAAAGACGATAACAGATTATCTCACAAGACGTGCCATGAGAAAGGGACTATGAATGGAAAAAATAACACAGCTGAAGTGCAAAGAATTATTAGCTAGATTGAAAACAGAGGGTTCCGTGAAAATAGAATGCTACATGTGATTTACATTGGGACGTGCAGAATTATGATCTAAATTCTCAGGATGATTTTGTCTTTTTGACTCATACTTTAATAGTTTTGAATTCAAAATTTTCCACTGTTTTGTTTTTTAAGATTAGACTGGACATGGTCTTTGGACAGCATTATTAATAACCTTCTTCTAAAGAATATAAAAGTCCAAGAATATATTATTTTCTTATATGGTTGAACTCTTCATACAGCACATGATTGGAAATTCCTAAGCCATCATTTCCTTCTTTAGCTCCACCACTACACATTTCTCCCTCTGCTAGGGGCTCTTTGAAAGAGCTAATTTCCCTTATTTCCTTACAGAAGTTATTAATGTGACAAAAGCTGTACTCTTCCTAAAACAGTTTCACCATCTGAAATATTTTCTATTTTTTAAACATGTTCACATTTCTCCAGATGACAAAAAATTCTAATATACTATGGAAAGAAAGATCAAAATACAAAATTAGTTAAGATCAATCTTTTAAAAAATCCATTTGGGATTTCTTTCCATTTTTCAGCAAATTCAATCTAAATGCTCCAAGGAATGCAGTCCTGGGCAAATGAAGAAAACTACAAAAAGTCAACATATCTGCTGCTATGAATGTGTGGACTGTCCTGAAAATCACTACAGTAATCAGACAGGTAATTGCAGTCACTACGACAGGTACAGTGACCCACCCTATGATCCTTACCATTCCTTTTAGGCTGATTTTTTTTACATGAATTCTTTTGGCTTAGTTTTTCATTTGGGAAAAAAAAAATGCATCTCATGCCCTTGCTAGACTAAATTCCTGTAAGATTTCATTTTATCTTTGAATTTTCTCTATTATATCAGCAGATGCACAACCAATACATAATAGAGAGAGAAAAGGAACTTGACTTCCAGGGGATGATGTCATCCCCCACAACTGGACTTCTTCTCCGGCACCTCTTAAAACAATGCGAGTTCTCTGTCAATTTTTGTCCATGTGTCCCCTACACAGATTTGCATGACTTGTAATTGGGGCACAATAACCATAAATAAATAAATACTGCATTAACTAATCTGAGCATGTTAGAAACTCAGAGGTGTGTACACCCTGGAGATCTCATTATTCCTACCAATAGGCAACAGTGAAGCCTAAAGAGAAAGAATCTTCCTTGAGACAAGGGGATGAACTACTGACAGAGATAAGATGTTACTAATTGATTGTTTGCCAAACCTGTCTATAACAATTTGATGAGATCAGAGCAAAATATACAAATTAAAGAACAAGAGTGAGGTCAGCAGCCTTTGGAGCCCTAAAAGGAGCTGTCTGCACTATCCCAGGAGCTAAGCCTACTTTAAAAACATCATATTCCCTTGTTTATTGCAGCATTCCTATTCATCTTATATAAAAGCTGAGAATCCCGGAGCTGGAATAGTTCCCAAATGCTTATTCTTTTTCCTTATTAGCTCCAAGAGAGAAGTATCGCAATGTAAACATTCCAATATCCATGTTCTGTCATTACCTCACAAAAATGCCACTTATCTCAACCCGAGATGGACTGTGCTGTCTAAATAACTAGGTGATTTGGAGGGAGAGCAAATTTTCCAGGCTATGTGGTATCTAGCACCTGTCTGCCAAGTGGGATAAACAAAAACACCAAGAGAGTATGGAGCATTCATTTCCCATAAAGATGTACAAGAGTCCTTCAAGATACAATCTGGGTTGTCTTTGATAACCAGAGTAAGTTGCTTCCAAGAACAAGTATAGGAGACCGAGGGCAACCTTGGAGGAAAAGCAAGGATTTAAGGCACTCTGAAAGGACATCATCTCCTATTCTCTGTGATTCCAGGACACAGCCCTTGTACATAGACAAGGTCAATAAATGTTCTCTGAACTAATGAAATGGTAGGTACCAGCAGCAGTAGGTAAGTGGAGGACAGAAAAGAATGGGTATTTGTAGGGAAGCAGAGTTTGGAAAGAGGAGGAGGCTGGAAAGCTAATGAAGTCTATAAACAGAAACACCATTTGACTTTCAGGTGAATGAAGAAGTGACCACGGGGCCTGTATAAAGTTGAATGGGCTTTGCGGAGTGTAATCAGATGGATGCCCAGAGAGAGGCTTTTTGGAAGTAATTAGGACCCCATCTATAGGGGGTGAAAACAGGGAGCAAATGCAATCACACTCCCAGAGACACCACTCTGGTATCAACTATTTATGCCACCCTGCAGTCAGAATCAGCATAAATCAGGGCCAGCCCCATGGCCGAGTGGTTAAGTTCATGCACTCCACTTCGGCAGCCCAGGGTTTCCGGATAGGATCCTGGGTGCGGACCTGGCACCACTCATCATGCCATGCTGAGGTGGTGTCCCACATAGCCCAACCAGAAGGACCTACAACTAGAATATACAACTATGTACTTAGGGGGGGGCGGGGTTTGGGGGAGAAGAAGAAGAAGAAACAACAACAAAAAGAAGATTTGCAACAGATGTTAGCTCAGGTGCCAATCTTTAAAAAAAAATCCTTATTAAAAAAAAAGTCAACATAAATCATTTTCAAGCTTATCACTGCCTGTGTGAGTGGCTCAATTATACTAAACTCCTGGGTGGATAAATAGACTTTAATTCTTCATCAACTGTCATTGATAACTATCTTGTGTTATCTCACTTTTAGGAAGCTTTTAGGGTGACACAACCATATTGTCTCTGCTTTTAAAAGAATTGCAGCCTTATTTATAACAGCAGCCCCCGTCATATTGAGTGCCTACTGTGAGCAACGCTCCCTGCAAAGCATTTTATATTTATTATCTCACTGAGTGCCGCACTCCAATAAGGCAGAGTCTTTTTAAAAAATTTTTTAAAGAGATTTGGAAATAGGCTCAGAAAGTTCAATTGGTTTGTTCAAGATTACGGGAATCGTTAAGTGATAGAGAAAGGGACTTGAAATATGTCTGATTCCATGGCCCCTTTTCTTAACAGAGTCCCTGAACTGCCACCAGCAAGTTCACAAGAGGCTAGCATCTATCCTGAGTATATTAATTTCCTAAAGACTTGCAGCTTGACTGAAAATTCTCTTTTTCTCTCTTCCCCTCTTCCTCTTCCCTCACCTTCACCCTTTCTCTCTCACCTTCTTTGGGTTCTGTGCATGCTTTATTTTAATAAGTAACCAATGTGACAATTATCTATATCCGTTTTCTAGTCAGGACTATTACGAGAAGGAGTCTCATTTGTAGCATTGTGGACAATCGCCTGGTTTAAATGTTTGCAATAACTGAATCTCCTCTGTCTTTTAGATATGGATCACTGCCTTTTATGCAACAACGAAACTCACTGGGCCCCAGTAAGGAGCACCGTGTGCTTTGAAAAGGAAGTGGAGTATCTCAGCTGGAATGACTCCTTGGCTATCCTGCTCATGGCCCTCTCTCTTCTGGGAATCATGTTTGTTCTGGCCATTGGCATAATATTTACAAGAAACCTGAACACACCCGTTGTGAAATCATCCGGGGGGTTGACAGTCTGCTATGTGATCCTTCTCTGTCATTTCCTCAACTTTGCCAACACGGGCTTTTTTGTTGGAGAACCACAGGATTTCACGTGTAAAACCAGGCAGACACTGTTTGGTGTGAGCTTTACTCTCTGCATCTCCTGCATTTTGATGAAGTCTCTGAAAATTTTGCTAGCCTTCAGCTTCGATCCCAAGTTGCAGAACTTTTTGAAGTGCCTCTATAAACCTATCCCCATCATCTTCACTTGCACAGGTATCCAGGTTGTCATTTGCACACTCTGGGTAATTTTAGCAGCACCTACTGTGGAAGAGAATGTCTCCTTGCCCAGAGTCATTATCCTGGAATGTGAGGAGGGATCTGTCCTCGCATTTGGCACCATGTTGGGCTATATTGCCATCTTGGCCTTTATCTGCTTCATATTTGCCTTCAAAGGCAGGAAATTACCTGAGAATTACAATGAAGCCAAATTCATAACATTCGGCATGCTCATTTACTTCATAGCTTGGATCATATTCATCCCTGTCTATGCTACCACATTTGGCAAATATTTGCCAGCTGTCGAGATTATTGTTATTTTGATATCTAACTATGGGATCCTGTGTTGTATGTTCTTCCCCAAATGCTATGTTATTCTTTGTAAGCAAGAGACTAACACAAAATCTGCCTTTCTCAAGATGATTTACAGTTACTCTTCCCACAGTGCAGGTAGCCTTGCTATGAGTCATGTTTCACTGGACTCCACCAACAGCAATATCCCAATGACCAATCCCAGCCCTGGTGGCAAGTCTGCAGCCTGGCAGAAAAGCAAAGATCTTGAGGAGCAAGTGTTTGGACGCATTTGTAGAGAAAATGCTACAAGTATATCTAAAACTTTGCCTCGGAAAAGAATTTCAAGTATATGAATAAGTCCTTAAGAGATGGCACATTCCGGAAGAAAATGTTTCTAGGGTCTTAGCGTTTAAAATGTGCACTTACTTTCTGAGCAAATATATCCTATGTGTTTCTTCACTGCCTCTATCTTCACCCAATTTTGGTAGAACACTCCCTCTGTCCAACCACCTGCTTAACAAAGAAAATAGAGCCATCAGCTTGAAACTCCATCCATTCCCACCTTCTATTTGCCTCCATCTTTATCTCCTTCCTCTTAGGCACATAGGGAAAGGTATCTCTTCTATTCAAAATCAGCCCATAATGTATCATCCTTGCCCCATCCTCTACCACCTCTTCTCAAACCTCTTTGTGTGGGTTCTCCTTCTGTATTGAGCATCTTTACCTTCCCACCTCCACTGCTTAGTTCAGTTGAACAAGCATTTGAGCAGTTACCATGTGCCAGGTGATGTGCTAAATACAAATTTACAAGAAGGATCAAGACATCATTTCTGACCTCAAGGAGCTCAAAATCCAAGGGAAGGCAGTCATGTATAGACGTCTTCAATTCAGGTGGGAAATTCTATGATTGTAATGTGCATAAGGCACTATAACAGTGTAGTTAAGTGGCACTTAGTCATCCTGGGGATCTTGGGAGGGTTTCAAAAAAGGCTAAGTAAAAGGTATGATGTTTATGAAAGACGAATAAGAGTGAGCTTAATCAAAGAAAGTACAGAAAGCTGTTCCAGATAAAAGGGGCAAGCAGAAGAGGTGGCAGAAAGTGTGTCGAGAAGGTGTATTCAGGGAAGTACAGTTATTTTGGGATTAGTAGACAGAAGTCCTCTTTTATACGTAGAGGTTAGGTCATGAATGAATGCCTCAGACTGAAATTCTTTTTTAAGGAGCTTAGGTCTTTATCTTGTGGGCAGAGGGTGGCCAAAAAATGTCTGGCAAAAAGGTAATAGGTTCAAAATCCCATTTTAAGAAGCTCACTCTGATACGGGGTGGAGGATGGAGTCTCTCTGAGAAAGAATTAGGATCTATACTAGGAAATAGAAGGGAGGATATGTATATGTATTCAAGCTATATAGAAGGTGGTCATTTATCTGAAGTAGTTGGTGAAGGATGAGTTATAGGCTTCTGGTTTGATTTATTGAGAAGTGACACAAATACAGGAGGATGACAGGTTTAGAGTAGAAGATGGAATATTGAATTTGAGGTGACTGGAGTAATTTCAAGACGTATCAAGCATTCATATGTATATAAGGGGGTAAGTCAGGGCTGGTGATACGGATTTGGATGTCACAGTCACATCACCCTCATCCTTATAAAGCAGAGAAACATACAAAATAACATTGTCCTCAATCTTTTTTTTTTCTGCTTTATCTCCCCAACCCCGCCCCTCCCGTACACAGTTGTATATCTTAGTTGTATATCTCAATCTTGACATTCTCTTTAGCTACCACTCTTTTTCTCCCTCCTTTTCACAACTGAAAGTTTGAAGGAATAGCGTCATTGATTGTGACCCATTAGTTCTGAGTCCATGAAATCTGGCTTTTAGTTGCACTGCTGTGCCAAAATAGCTCACAGAGAAGTTACCTGTGACTTTTTATCTGTCTAATTGGATGGTCATTTTTAAGTGTTCACCTGCTTTGAATCTTAATGGCATTTGTGGTACGATTCCTCCTTGAAATTCTCCCTCTTCACCCCTTTCATGATTTTTTATAACTTTCAGTTATTTAAAACACTTCACTGTGATGCAAAGGCTCTTGTGGTTCTCCTCTGACATCCCTGACTATTCAATTTTGGTCTCTGTTGCCGGTATGTCTCCCTCTACTTGGCTCTTAAATGTGGGTATTCCCCACAGTTCCACCCTCAATCTAAATCTCTTTTCTCTCAACACACTCACTCACTATAATATTATCCATTTTCATGTCTTCACTTTGACCCAGACAACTTGCAAAACCACATCTCTGGTCCAGATCACTCTCTAACCAATCCACCTGCTAGTCCCTCTAACACTTCAAAGTCAATGTGCCTAAAATTTATTCCATTATTGTCTTCTCCTAACTCCTTCTCCTCTTGTTTTCCATTTCTCAGCGTGTGGTACTACCTTTGGACTAGTTGGAACCCTGGGATTCACGCTATTCATCCTTGACTCCACTATCTCCTTCACCCTTCTATACCTTTAATTCATCATCTGTCTTTTATTTTCTAATTCCTACTTTTTCTCGAAACCTTGCCATGATCTCTATCCCTGTCATTACTTCTTAATCTAGGTCTCCATCACTTTTTCCATATATTGTTGCAGTAGCCTCCTAATTTGATTTTGGTCTCTCAATGTTTTATTCTAAGTATAAAGCAGGTCTTGCAAAACTTTCTGCTCATTTCCACTGGATATATTTCTATAGTAAAAACCTCTTAGGTACTCAATTGTTTCAAAACCTGCAATAAGTCAAAAATCCTTATCCTGACGCCCAGGCTCTTCAAGTCCAGCACCAATGTCTACCCCTTCCTGCCTGGTGCATTACCCTGGTGAAACGGTCAACTGCAAGTGATTGTCTGTACACACACCATGCTACTTCATGCCTCAGAGCCTGCCTCTTCTCTCTGTGTTGATGTCCTCTCCACTCCCCGTCTTCCTGGAACACTCTAGCTAATCCACCAGACAAAACTGAAGTGTCTCTCCTACCACACCTTCCTTTCTGCCTCTGCCACAGCACCTATTACACTTTAGTGCATTTACTTGTTTTTATTTTAATTTGTTCAATTAATATTTATCAAGCCCCTACTATGGACTTGGCATAATTCTATGCATGGGGAATGTAAAAATGACAAAGGGCATGCAAGTTCTTTCCTCTCAAGGAGTTTACATTCTAGTGTTTTCACCGTTTTGCCCATGGGCAGTCAAGTCTCCTTTAGTAACACCTCTCTCAACTGTTCTTTCTTCTCTACTACTACCTCTGTCATCGCCATGATTTACGTTCTTGTGACTTCACACCTCTGTTGTTGAAAGATTCCAAACTAGTTACCAACCCCAGTGTTCTCCTTCTAATACACAGAATCCATCATCACAGATCAATCTTTCACAAGTTAGTTCCAAAATTGTCATTCTCCTAATCAAAAAAATTGAATGACCTCCTATTGCCTTCAGAATTAAGTTAAATTCTTTCCTACCTTGCTAAGTAAGACCTTCCACAGTTTTACCTCAACATAGACTGAATATTTAAAAAAAAAAAAAAAGAAAAAAATACAAGATATTAATCCTAGTTTACTGCTTAGCCTAAATGTATTCACATACAATATGGTGATAATATCTTGTAAAATTGTCATGGGTATACAATATTCTCATGTACATGAAAGTGTTAAGAAATGAGTATTCTGTTTGTGATTTCACTGACTAATTGCTCTGTTGATATGAAAACAGTTTCTCCTGTTGACATGAGAGCAAAGTTGTAGGAAAGCTTCCAGATTCTTGAATGTGATCACACAAAACCGAAATCCCTGCACTGTTGTGCCAATAGAACAATAAAATAAATATAGTTTCATAAGAGTTGTGGGTTCTACTACAGTTGCATAGCTTTTGGCAATTATTCCAGAAGAAAAAAATGCTCCTCAATGTAAGAAATTAAGTTCTGAATTCCTTGATGCCAGAACTACATCCTTGCCATCATGGGAAACAAAAACTAAGAGAATGACTATTGTACTTTTCATTTTTTCTGTTAATTTTTGAGGTTTTTAAATTCAATCGTATGTAAGTTAAATGATTTTCTTACTCCTTCTGGAATAAAGGGTTTACTCTATTTTATTATAAAAGCAATATCTAAATATTATAAAGAAATAAGAAAATAAAAATAAGCAAAAAGAACACACAGGAGGCCAGCCCCATGGCTGAGGGGTTAAGTTCATGTGCTCCGCTTCGGTGGCCCAGGGTTTCACAGGTTTGCATCCTGGGTGTGGACCTAGAACCGCTTATCAAGCCAGGCTGAGGCGGTGCCCCACACAGCAGAACTAGAAGGACCTATAACCAGAATATGCAACTATGTCCTGGGAGACGGTGGGGAGAAGGACAAAAAGAAAAAAGATTGGCAACAAATCTTAGCTCAGGGCCAATCTTTAGGGGGAAAAAAAGAACACACAAAAAAGGACCATAATTTTATAACCAATCAACAATCTTCCATTATATAAGTAGTAAACTCCTTACAGGTTGTCTTAATCAAGTCCAAATCATTATTCAGATGGAAACTTTCCCATTGGTCAAGACAAACTGATCTGGGGAGAAAAAAGCACTTAGAGTTCAGTGACAGACTGACTTATATAGTTATCCCCTTACCCTGCTCACAGAGACACACATACTAAAATCTTTTATTGCTAACACACAGGGTGAGGGAATAATACCCATTGCACCACAGTCTTTACTGGTAGGATGAAATCAGAAGCTGGGCAGCCGAGCTTGGGCTGATCTCAAGAGAAACATCCATGTGTAATCATTATCTGTGTACTCTGGGTTTTGTACAAAGCCATCCCCAAAATTAGTATTCAATAAATGTCGAATGAGTAACTTTAATGTTCTCACAAAGATTCTCCATATCTTGGTTAGCACAGTAACTCACTGATTTTTTCCAATCTTCCCTTCTGATACTGCAGTCCCCATAGCTCTTGAGCGGTCTTTAAACCAAACCTTCAGATAGGCCCTTATTGCCATTGTCAGCAAAATAAGACTCCTGGAAAGTTAGAGTAGAAAACAATTAATTGCATGATCCTCAAAACCTGGGTTAAAAGAATATGGAGAATAAACACGTGAACAATTAAACATGGAAGTGATAAGTGGAAATTCCATTGTGACATTAAAAGGAAAAGAGGATGCCCTCCTCCTACTCATTTTCCTCTTCTTGCTGGCTGCTATGCAGAATGACCATGACATATGCAAATTGAAGATGGCAGAGCAAAAAAACAGAAGAAGCCTTGGTCTCCAATACTCTGCAGCTTCTTTTTCAGCCCTGGATCACTTTTGCTTAGAGACCATGTAAGAAAAGCAAACAGCCTGATAAATTCACATATGGGCTGCCTGTCTGCTTTAATGAGAGGCCAAGCACAAAAATAATGCAAAGAGTTGGAAGATGGAACACAGCAAGTAGTTGCATTCACGTCCAGAGCCTCTTGTAGGAAAATCTCAGGTGACTCGAATTTCTTACATTTCACACCTTCTCTTACACAATTTTTCTGGTACCTGGCATTACATTTCTAGCCAAAATCAGATTATCAGAAAATGAAATTTTGAGAATTCCAGACCTAAAAACAAATTAATCAATTAGCTTCTCATTTCTACAAATAGCCATTCTTTCATACCAACAAATATGTGAACCTGAATTATTTCTTATTTGTTAGACATAGAAGGTGTGACTAGAAAATGCACAAGCTGAAAGTATGAAGTCCAGTCTGCAATTAACCAGGGGTCTGTGTTAGAGTATTTCCCATCTCAAGAACTATCCGTTCTAAATACTCAGATAAACAGAAAATCTTTAAGCCAAATTCTTGTAGTTACCAGTGGAAAACTATTGGAATCCAACATATTAGAAAAATTGCTGGGGCTGGCCCAGCAGCGAACTGGTTAAGTTCATGCACTCTGCTTCAGTGGCCCAAGGTTTGTGGGTCCAGATCCTGGGCACAGGCCTAGCACCACTTGTCAAGCCATGCTGTGGCGGTGTCTCACATAAATAGAGGAAGACTGGCACAGATGTTAGCTCAGCGACAATCCTCCTCAAGCAAAAATAAGAACATTGGCAATAGATGTTAGCTCCGGGCAAATCTTCCTCACAAAAAGGAAGAAAAGTAAATTGCTGTGTCTTTACATGAAATGGAATAGAAGTGACAACAGCTAGGAAGTAAGAGACCCCCATGTTGGGGAAAAGCACAGGAAAAGTAAAGTGTTGATGGGTACAATTTATTGATTATATTTGCAACCATCTATTTCCAAAAGGGTTCTGAAGTGAATTTTATAATAAAATCTTAAAATAAATATTTAAAAAGTCAAATCTGTAGTGGAACAAGGCAGATAACAACTGAAATCCAGGCTAGGAATAGTAGTTGCTCTTGTACTAAATTTAGCTCTGGGCATCAGGGAAGACAAGAGGAGCGGACACTGTAGCCCTCAACAGGCACAACCTGCAGGAAATGTCGGCAAGTGCATAGTCCAGGAGGCTTGTTTTCTGGTCTCAGCTCCTTCTGCACTCACTATGTAACCTTCTAAGTCCCCATCCCTCTTCATAATTCTTTGAGGAATTCTCTACTCTATGTGCCACCGGAAGGGCTGTCAATCTGGGAGCAGCACAGTGGTAGAAGGGTGGCTCATAGTGAGCCATAAGAGACTTTCTGGGCCCTTTCTGCCTTTGGAGGAAGACAGAAAGGTCTTCCCTGATTTTGGTTATGAACGATAAGGCTTCCAACCATCATCGTTCCTGTCACATGAAGGAAACCTGTTTGAGAAAGGAGATAATGAGGTCAAAATGAAAATTGAAGCAGAGCCAAGTGATGGAGAGGAGGAAGGGAGGGAGAGAGGAAGGAGGAGGGAGGAAGAAGAATGGGGACTACGGAGAAGAAAGGGAGAGGGAGAGAATCTTTTGAGCACTTTGATCTAGTTGTGCCTAAAGCTGAACTATCCTTAGACTATTGGCTATGAGAACCAATAAATTTTCCTTTTTTTCCTTCAGCTTATTTTTCTTGGATTTCTATTTTTTTGAAACTAAGGAATCATGACTAAAACACTTGTGTTTTTTGGTTACATTTTTCCATCTGTAAAATAAAAAGCATGGAATAAATTTATCTCAAACTTCTCTTTTGAGTCTAAAATTCTGCAATTCTAACTGGATTAATATGTGAACTCCTTCAGGACAGGGGTCTTATCTCACCTATTTCGGTGTCCAGAATTTCTGACCCTTAGTAAACTCTCAGTGTCAGATACATGTTCACAGATTTCCCGTTCCTGGGAACGGGGTTAATGTAGTTAAATTACCGAACGTGTTTAATCCCCAAGCGAGAAATACACGTGTACTGTAAATCTGATGGCATGGGAAATACAATACTCCAAAAGAGCTACTTATTATTGACAGAGTCCAAGCTAGAGAGAAAAATTATTGATCACTGTATTCATAGTGAACTTTAAGATTTGATATTTCTTGCTTTCTTTTTGTGGAAAACAAGGAAAATGTAAAAGGATTTACTGGATCAGCAAGTAAAAAATGTGTAAGCCAAGTATTGGAAGTTTAGCTCATGCTTCTGTTAATGTCAGACTTTCCTTTCTTTCAAGTATACCCCCCAAAAATATATATGTGCATACCTTTGTATATACATATATATGTAATATATACATACATATGTAATATAATGGTATGCATGTATATATATGTATATGCATGTATATACATGTATATATACCATTTGACCCTCCACGATGGGGGATAAAATAATAGATCACTCTGCTAAGACACATGAAAGAGGGTCCTTTTCCTGTTCTCTTCTAAGACACAGTGTATTGTGTTCCACGACTAACCTTAATAATCTAGTGTGCAACTCACCCAGAATGAGTTTAGCAAGACCCCAAATCGGTGTTTGAAATGAAGTTCTAGTGGAAGCTGAGAAAAAGAAGTTACAAGTCAGATGCACAACCAAGGTGGTGATAGAGGGAAGAAAACTTGACTATCCTATTTTCATTGGACATGGGTGAGATGAATTGCTACATAAAAGCAAAGACTGTCCAATAATTTTCAGTATTTATATAATGTATACATTCATAAATCACACACATTTCTATTTCCTGTTAATTAAACTTTTCTTTATAACCATGTACAAAGAGTTTTGGTGGGAAAACCAGAGTCCAGAGAAGGATTGGCCGCAGACCAGTCTTCTCCTCATAGTAAACATCCTTAGGAATGTTGGAAGAAGAAAGGCCGTACACACACCATATTCCCTGAAGCTCCTTGCCAGGAACACTTATGTATTTCCTCGTCCTTGGTATTACCTTTGTACAGTAACTTTAACTTATCAAAGAAACACTTCTTAGCATTGTTGCCAAATTTTAACTGTGCCTTAGTTTTCTTATGTGAAAAAATGATGATAAAAATGTTTGCCCTGTCTACTATACAAAGTTATTATAAAGATCAAAAGAGATAATGCACATTAAAGTGCTTTGCAAGCTATAAATCATTATTCAAAATATTATTACTAACCTCATCACTGTTATTATTTGTTTTCACAACAATCTTGTGAGATTGGTAACTATTGCTAAGGAGGAAATTAAAGAACAGTAAGATTAAGTGTCTTGCCTAAAGTTGCATATTAATTCGGTGGCCAGTTGATATGAATTCAGACACCCTAAATTGCTACTAGACCATACAAATGCACGTACACTGAAAATCAGGAAGAGAAAAGATTTCCAGAGTTGTATATGAACACTTTTTCTCATGCCTCTGACCTAAAATGTTTTAACTTCAAAAGAGACATATTAAATAATCTTACAGACATCCAAGTCAAAATATGAGGTTAGATTCATAAACCTGTTTCTCCAGTTAATCAACCAAAAACGGATATGGAACAAGAGGAAAGGGTGTGTTCCACAGAGTATTTATCCAATCAGAAAGAGATGGATATTCTCCGACCTTCAAAATATGTTACATTTACTAGTTTAGAACAGCAATTATTATATATTGTAAATGGAAGGATAATTCAGAACAACTTTTTGCAGGTCAATTTGT